GCATCGTTTTCTTTTCTTGGTGAAATATAATTTATAATGAAGGACTCAATATTTACCTTGGTTTCCATCGAACGATCGACTCTTCCACTATAGCAGACAGTATTTGGAATACCAGCTATCGGTGTAATTACAGTTATAGGTAAATGTATGTGCAAGTTTATTATAAGTATACTTATTATCTGATGGTTCATTTCATAGTGCTCAAAATTTTGTCTGGTTCTATGGGACAGTAAGGTTGCATAATAACGTTTCACGGGATAGTTTTTATAATGTATGTAATATGCTTTTCCAATTAAGGTATTATTACACATTGAACTGAATGTGAGAGATAACTCAATAATTAGCGCGTTACTTAAATACAACCGACCAATTCACTCCAAAGATTTAATTTATTATTTAATCTCATGCAGCTCATTAGTCAACTACAGGTTCATATGCTTAGATCTAAGCTGCAATCTTGATCTTGAACGCACTACATATTCATTCAGAGCTCCAAAGATAAATAATACACATTTTACTGTATTCAAAACTAGTGGTTTATGGATGCTGCATTTAGTAATTGCTTTGTTTTTCTTCACTAGCAAAAAATTATTTAATATATCAATGTTCGGTTTTGATTTTTATTTTATATATCACTGTCTCCTATTGGTACCATTCTGAAACTGTTATTTCAAGGTAGTTCAGTTCCTTTCAAAGGATAACCATAGAGCGGAAGTGTTTAACATATCTTCCAAAAATTTCCATTCTACCCCAGAACAAAATTACATTTTATGGACTAAATTGTAGGAAATTTGTTTTGTTCTAAGTTTACAAGAATAGCGCAGTTATATACGGCGCCATTTTCTCAACATTTGACATTTTTGAAAAATATGTTTAGTAGTTGCATAGAAAGGAAACAAATAATTTTTATGCTATTTATCTGACAATAAGATGTTGAACAGTTTTCTTTTTGTAAACATATCAATTCTACATTGTTTGAAATTTTCATTCATTTTTAAACAGGTACTTTTACCCTTTCAAAACAATGTCATCCACATAAAATTAGTAATATCTATCTTAGTACTGATGAATTTATTTAAAATAGGCCTAACATTACTAAAATATGAAGTTGAAGCTTTCCTTACACTTTCTATCCAGTTTTACTTATTATTTTTAAAGTTGACTATTGACGTTAGACTAAATAATTGTTTGTTTTTTATTCTGAATAGTAACGAAAAAAAGTATGACTTATTTTAGCATAGATAATTCAGGCTTAAGTGATATTTTTATTTAAAAAAAGAATACTAGTGACTTATTTTCATTAGAACTCTTCCTTGAGTTGATTAGTACACAATTGGATGAAATATAACTACTCAAAAATTCGTAAATTTATATCAATCTGAAAGTCCCACCAAATCACGATAAGGGAAAAAAGAATGGTTAGGAGAAGGTTGTCTGCGTAAGAAAAAAAACCTAGTCGTAATAGTCATTTAAATATTTCCGACAAAAAAAACTTACCATTAATTGCTTGTATCATCGCATGTTGTATCTATATGCCGACTAGTTATTTTGGTTTAGGATACAGAGGGAGTCGAATAACTCATATATGATCAACTTATACCCTATTCCTCATGTGTTGAAGAAAATCACTAAAGCGAATCGGTTTTCTAACTACGGGTCATTTTTATTTAGACTTAAATAGTTTCTAAATAGCGTCAGATGATTTTTATCTCTTAATCGTTAGCTAGGTACCAATAGTTGGATCGTTCTACTGCTAGATCCCTTTTTCTCGTCAAAAGAAATAAATTTAATCAAATAAATCCAGATATATGGTCTTCATGAATTTTGATTTAGTTGATCAAAGTAGGAGGCACAATGAAGCTCTGTAATGAGTCGTACAGCCTTAAATGTCTACTTAAGCTAATGTTATTCCTACGTGAAATTCAAAGGAAGTACATCAGACTGATATCACTGAACTCATTTCTGAAAACCATATTAAGTATAAGACTAGAAATGTCTTGGTTCTCATGATTAATTCATTTGATTAACCAGTGAAATTCTCGGATGTATGTTTCCTAATAATCAGCAACTAATATTAGTCTTCAAATTAACTTCAACATACCACACTTTAGTTCGTTAGCATAAAATAAAACTTCTCACAAAGTTGTAATGGGTTTTCAATATATATGGTCTTTTCTAACGATACTTTATTTAAACTATTTATGTGAATATGAAGTAAATATAAATGATTTAGATAAAAGGTTTTTTGGGAACCAGTCTTACATCCTCTAAAGTATTTGAAGTCCTCTCTATTCAGCTGAAATATTTTTCTCTTATGAACAGCGGCATACTTACTGATGTCACCCAATTGATATTTGAACATTAGCCGTAAGTTCTTTAAACTAATAAGAGTAACTATGTCCATGATTGTCTAATTACCTTCGGATCACATTTCCGATATAAGGATGAGTGCTACCCCCTAGCTACCTAAACTGAAGTGGAGTTCAAACCTTCAGAACAATGGTCTTAGCAACTATGGCACTAAATTATCACCTGCTACGCAAAAACATATTTTTCTGAAAGCACAGTTTCCGGATTCATCCGAACTGTAACAGTGTAGTCTACAACAGAAATATATGAAATATGTATCTCAGGTAAGAAAATAACCTGGGACTTCTTAGCGCCTGAAGATCAACTATAGTTAACGATAGCTGTTATTACCGTAATAGATGTAATGAAGTGCAGATAATTACAAAATAGTATGAAAAATATGCAGGGTAAAATTATCTGCAGTATCCTGATAAATTTTAAGCTGTCAGTATAGGGGTTGTGGAGAGTATTAAGTTTTTGGTTGAGACCATGAACCAACTGATGCTAGACCACTGTTGGAAACCTGTAAGCACTGGGCGGCCGTTTTTCCCTATTGTGGGACTCCTCAACAGTGCGCATCCACGATCCCGCTCGCGGAATTTGAACCCGAGGCCTTCAGTCTCGCGCGTGAACTCAACCTACTAGACCAATGAGCCGGCATCCAATGGTGTTAGTGTCTGACATCAACCAATCTACGAAGTTGCGCGACCATCTTCCATTGTACTGAGGTAAATACCTGTCTCTACCCGACACGGATTATATCCACTAGTCACGGTTTCTCACTAGAACTCCGAGAATTCCCTCACGAAGCTAGTCACTGGTGAGCGCATGTTAATTATAGGGGTTGTGGAGATTATTAAGTTTTTGACTGAGGTCAGGTTTCCAACAGTGGTCTAACATCAATCGGTTCATGATCTCAATCAAAAAGGTTAAGCTATGTCATCCTATCTCTAATCGCTTCAACTTCTTACTTTTTGAACATTAACCAAGAAACTTAGAATTCAAGACATTTATTCTCCATGCCGTTATTTGTTAGGTAGACTTAGAATTTGACTTAATCACCATTTCTTTCATCCTACTTCATTCAATTAGTAAGTTAATTTATTTTTTGAATATGAACAAATATATCTACTCAATCTATACGATTATAGTGAGAGTTGATATGGTAGGTATACATACTGCACTTTACTATTAATACTATTTAAAGTAACATATAACCACTTTTATTCATTGATAAAACGAAAAACAAGACAAAACACATTGAAGTGTTTCCAGTTTAATTAATCACGTTAGTTGTTAGTTCAAATAGATTTTATTTTTCACATATCTAAATATTTTTCTTTTTCATGAACTATGCATGACTCATTCAACTTGTTGAAATGAAAAAAAAAATTTTTTTTTTGTATTTTGTTTGTCATGATAACTATCTCTTTATTAACATCATTATTAATTCGTAATAACAATAATAATCAATAAATATAACAATTAAAATGAAATTTGAAGTTAAGGTCAACAAAAGTTCCAGTTCTATACAAGATCTATGCTAGTTGTAAGTTGATTTTTTTTTAAAAAAAAATATGATATTCATTCGTGTAACCATTTTGGAAATAAAAAATTTTTCCGTTACAAAGTATTATTAATCTGACACTAATAATGGCGCCAATAACGTAAAACTACTTGGGATAAATATTTAAACATCGATCGCATCAGTACACTAGGGTAGTTGGGTAACTAAAGGGAGGTGTACCCACCCAACAAATAATGGTCGGTCTTACCTTCAACTGCTTTCAGGTTTTCAATAATTATCTATTTCTGATCGGTTCGTGATTTTAATGAAATTCAACATCTTCACAACGCTATTAACAGCTTATTCAACTTTAAAACCCTGTAGTTTCACAAAAGAAGTGAACATTCCACCCAAATCAGTACATACACTCATGTTTGGCATTCAGGAGGTGAAGTGGATTTGAGTCATTCACTGATTAATCAACAACCAAATTTTAAAATTAGTGAACACCAATTTCATGTCTATTTCAAGTGATTATTATCAATTTTAGCCAGGAATTTTTGAAAAACTACTCAGAACTTTTGAATAATCAGTATTCAGGTCTAAATCCCAGCGTCGATCCAACATAAGTTGTCCTACTAAAAGTTTATCTTTCAACCAAACCTGTTGATCAATCCAAGTCTCAGAAGGTTTACGGTAAAAATTTAGATTAGAAATTAATTGCAATAACCAATGTGAGCTAAAGAATCTTTGTCTAACCGTTAAAACTCAACATAATGTGGGGGAGGGAGGAAAAGAACCTTGGAAAACAAGTTCGATCTAAAAAAGCGTGTATATATGACGTTATCCAGTACACTAAAATCAGTCCTCATATCATATCGATAACTACTGAATTATTATTGAAAAGCAGCGTATTGATTAGTTGTTTAACTCTACTACATTATTTCAATATCTTCCAATTTATTTTACCAATTATATCCCGTCGCGCCAATGTGTTATGACATCTTGGGACAATGCTTATCTTCGTCAGGCTCTATGTTGATGATAGTTAACTGACTGACAACATAACATTACATTTCTTAAAATATTTATTATTTTACCGAATTGAGACCGATTTAAGTCATCTCCCTTTTCTGTTCTTTAGGTCTCTTATGCTTTTTCTAATGGTGGTTTTACCAATCAATCAAATATTTGGGAAACAAAGGTAAACAGAATAACAAGTTAATTTCAAGTAAAAAGCAATTAAAAACAAAAACTCGAAATTATATTTAACTCCTCATCCTCCTCCAATCCCTTCTATTTTGCCAATGACTAAAATCTGTTTATTTAACAAATACAAACTTCAAATTAAACAAGCTCTAGATGGAAATTTCATTGTACTTTATCAACCTGCTCCAAATTCATTTATTATCATACAAAAAAATGAAGGAATTACACATAATAAAAGTGATCATAATATTCATCAAGAAAGTGATCATCATGATAACTTAAATTCTTCTAGTATAAATATAAATGATTGTCAATCAAAATCTCATTCACGTCGTCAACGACGACAACGATTTCGTGTAGTTATTGGACCACAATTATGTAATTGTCAAAATGGAATTATGCATGAAACAGGAATGACTATTAAGTTAATTGAACCATGTGTTCATTTATTGTTTGTTATGTTGCATGTTCTTAAAATACCGATTGATGATCCACATTTAACGGCAATACCTTTACCTAGTTCAAAAGTAAGTCATGTTATTTGACAGATTATAATAAGTAATGAATATTTCACCATTCTTAAAGTCTAATTTCCCTATTTGTAGCCAAATATCATTTAAACATGTATGTAATATCAAAGCATTTTTAGGTTTCGAATCCATATCGTTCAGTGTTACACTCGTTAATATTATAAACGGTTTATTTGAGCTACAAAACGTTTCTACGAGTATTTATTATGTCAGTCAATTAGTCGGTGCTTTCAATTTAAAACAATGACATCCTAATGAGTAAAAATGAGTAATTTAATTAATGAAATATTTAAGGAAATATGAAGATGAGAAACTATTGGATTACGATGAAGACTTGATGAATTTGTGTCATTGATCACGATTTTGAATTAGGTTATGGACTTTTGATATCTTATAGTTTTTAATCCTCACGTGAAATGGAATAAACAAACTTACATAGAAAAACTTCGCTTGTCAATAAAACGTAGATTTATTGGGTTACTTACGGTAATTCGGCTCCAAGTTTTACAGGATGATAACAAACCGTGAAATCACAAATCTACATTGTGTTCTATTTAGGCCTCGTCAAACACAACTTAGTGAGTTTTAGTGTTGCGAATAAAAGGCTTGTAAGCTGAATGTGTTTAGTTCAATCCAAGAAATCAACAACTAATCCATCTCAATATTGAACGATGTTTAATTGCGTTAATCTATTAGTGGTCTTAGTTTAATAATAAAAATACTATAATAATAAATACTATTTGACAATTTCACCCTAGTAATGTAAAAATGACATTGGTAAGTACGTTACTCGATAATGTTTGGTAATTGAAGTTACTTAAAAGGAAATTTTAGGCTTACATTTCATGAGTCAGTGACGTGTGTCTGTAATTCTCATGGAAATAATGATCCCCTAAAGATTGACTACTTTCAAACTAGGATTTGCTGTCCGATTTGTAGTGACGTTTCAAATTGTAAGTACATGATTACAAAACATTTCTTAAAATATTTTGAACTTATTTATGAGTATAAATTTTTTCCAGGCTGAATTTTGGATTGAAAAGTATCGCAATCATCGTCATTCATTAGTCCAGTCCTACACTAAAAATAGAAGAAACTCAAATACATTGAAAAATGAAGGAAATCAGCCGGAAACACTTAAGTTGCCAGAAAAACTAATCAACTCTGAAATATCAAACACACGTCTAATCATTCCTCAGCCCATTCGTCATGAAAAGACAAATAACTTTCTTCATTTACGCGCTATTATGAATCCAAGTGCCCATGATTCTAGTGAATTGTCATCGATCACACAAGACATTGTTCCTGTATCTAGAAGAGAGACTGAAAGTGCAGGAACATGTGACCCAAGTACTTCATATACGGCAGCAACCTCAAGGACAAGTTCCATCGATAGTATAGAAAGCTGTAAATTAGACTCATCCTGTCGATCAAATGATCAACATTGCCGTCCCCGCCATCAAACTACATTTTCGTGCTCCTCTAGCTCGGAAACGGGTTTGTCCTGTCGACGGCCTCAAACTGCGCCTCAGCCTGAACTTCCACCCAGACTAGGTCGAACAAGAGCCAAGTTTGTCAGGTATTTGTCATTAATATTACAATTGTGATAACATGTCCACATGTATACACATTTATATACTATCTGATAATTCTAGAGAGTTGGCTGAATCACGCCAAAAAGACGCTTATTGAGAAACTAGTGAAAGCCTTGAAGTAATAGGATATATTTGTATATCATATGATCTAGTATTCCACAAAGAACACCATCTATCATTAATACCAAAATCCAGTTTGATTTCTCCACCCACTACTTATTAGCAAATCACTTTGAAGAGAAAATCAATAAATCTATAATAAAAACCAATGAGAACAGTCAAATCGAAGAAGTTGAATATTTTTTATTTAAACTAGCAGTGAGACTTATTGTGAATCTACCTTAGTGACGAGGTTCAAGATAGAATGGAATGATCCTAAGTTACCAGAGATTTTTAAGCTGAAATGAAAACTTTACCTTCAACTGTTTTTAATTTTATCAATCTTTTTATGACTATAAAAGGAAGGTGACCATCTAGTTATTTGTATTGTGGTTACTTTTTCCCAACACAATAATTGAATACACGTTTTTTGAATCAGAAATAATTTACCAAAATATCTTGACACTGATTCATATTACCACTAGAAATGGTTTTTTTTCGTGTCACCTTATAAATCATGACTGATTGGATTTCATTACTGTACGTCAATAAGATGTTATGTACATAACGGCTGATAATACCAGTTAAAATTTTAAAAAATAGGTGTATATTAATGAAGATGATTGATCATTGGATAGTATTGGTCAATGTGTTTTTTCGTCTAATGATTAGTGAGAAGCAAATTCGATAGATCAATTTGTCATCTGGACATTAGTCTAAGTGACTCAGCATCTCACGGGCTATTGCCTTAATTGTATACATTAGAGTTGACTGCGATGCCATTCAGCCTTAATTATAAGTGATGTGAATCATTACCAATACTTGTTATTTCCATCAAATTGTCTAGTTTTATTTATCATATAAATTACCTCTCTCTACATAGAACTACTGGACATTTGCGTACATACATAGGGTTGAGTTTTAAATTTTATGATAAATTTAACCTAACAATTTCGATTGTATAACCTGGACCTGATTGTACAATTTTTCGTGATTGTTTTAAAGGTCACGCCTGTATCACATATAAAACCCATAATTTTGCTGTCTGTAAACAAGTTTACGTAAGAAATTTGTCCTATCTAAAACAAATGTATTATTTTTCTTACTGCGTTCTGGTACCTGTCTAGACGTTTAAGACTATTTATAAAAACTAAACATTGTATACATAAATCAAATATCATGGTAATAAAAGCTAAACTCATCTCAGTTCGCATTATTTATAGGCTGAATTTCATTTCTGTATGGTGGTAACAACTTGTTTGAATAATTATGATTATTACACTTAATAAATCATACACCACATTACTGATCTGAAGTAATCGGTATCTAGGATATACATACAGTTCAATTATAGGCATGAATTTCAACTCGTTTACTCTAGTTTCTGTAAAGTGTTTTATTCGTCAATAGTTTTGAAAAGAAAACACGAGCTTGTAGTTATGTTTTTATTCAACGAATGCCTAAGTCATACATTATCAAGCTATTCGGGACCAATTCAAGCTAATATGTACTGAAGTTCGGATAAATTTACTTTTTATATGCAATTAATTAATAAAAATGTTCGTATATAATCTTTGAATTGAAAACTTAGCTTAGGAAAAATTTATTCGCTTCGGTTGGAAAAGCAGACAAATTTGTCTCATTTAAAACTTTATGCTTCGCTTAAACATAAACATAAGTTTTCTTCATTATGACATGATACTAGTTGATGAACTACGGATAATTACCATACACTCGTTTTTTTCCAATTTAAGGATCATCAATACATCACATGAACGTCTATCATCAATACAATTATGAAAAGATGACCTTATAAATCTCTTCCCACATACTAATTTAGTATAAAATAAGACATTCTAGATTGTATTTATGTTTGTGCATGTATTTTTCATGATTGTTTCACGAATAAATTCATGAAAAATAATACTCGTCTCTTAAAATTTAATTTATTATCTTTTCATAATTATTCTTTATCATTATTATCCGGATTATGAAAAAAGGAAAGAATCAAATGGTCCATTCCACTATTTACTTTAATACACATATCGAATATAAAAAAACTCTTTTGAATTATTTAGTTGAATTCATGAGTCAATTGAAGCTAGACTATCATGAAAAATCTGGAAGCACTGGTTGACCGTTTCGTCCTAGTGCGTGACTCCTCAGTTGTGCGCATCCACGATCCCACCCCTTGGGACTCGAACCCAGTACCTATCAGTCTCGTTCGCGAACTCTTCACCTGTAGACCATTTATTATCTTTTCATTATTATCCGGAATATGAAAAAAGAAACAAAAAAGAATCAAATGATTTATTCCACTATTTATTTTATTACACAAATCAAATAGCTAAATGAAGAGATTACGTTTAAAATTTATATGGAAAATTTATTTCTTCATAAATTTCTTTTCTTTACTGAATTAACACTCAAACATCAATAAAATAAAAATAAATAAATAAAAAAGAAATAATTACAAAATTCATTCAATTTCCTTCTTTCTGTCTTTCTTTCTTTCTTTCTTTCTTTCCTTTTTTTTTAATGATTAAACACATAAAAAAATATAACAATAATAATTTATTATATTTCAATATTTATTCGAAAAAAAATGGAAAGCAAACTTCACATTGAAATACCAAGTCATTATGCTTAATAGTAACAATTACTTTTTCAAAATAAATAAATAAATAAACATAAAGTTTTACATGACTCATTGTGTGTTGTTCACCAAATAAATTGAGAGACGGTGAGTGTGCCTGTGTGTGTGTGTGAGAGAGAGAGAGAGAGAAAGAGTTAATTGTTACTTTTCTTTTCACTTATCAATTTCATATAGATAGATATATACATATCTCTTAACATCTGTGTCTTATAATTTATAAAGCAATTTTTTTCATTTTATTATAAATTATAATATTCATTTAAAGAAATAATAAATTTATGGGTTGCCCTAATAAGTATTTCATTTAACTCTATAAATCTATATTCATAGAGCTTATTGAACATGTTCAAATTCTACAGAATTCAATTAATTATTTAGTTACTAAGTTAAAGAACAGAAACAGTAATTTTGATCAAATTTTGAGAAAAGAAATTTTTTTTTACGTTCAATTGTACGATAAAGTAGCTGTCTAATACTTCTGTGATTTTAATGATTGTCTTCCTCTTTCAATTCGTAATGCAAAATATATTGTAATCTAAATAAGAAAGATTAGTTCAGCGAAGAGTTCTCCTTTTGACAATCGCAAATATTTATACTTATTTTTACAGGATAATAATAATACTGATAATAAACTTCTGTTAGACATGGTGACACTGAGGTTAAATAAACAAAGGTATTAAAAAAAATTTTAAACAAGGAAAGTCTAATAATCGTTTGATTGTTATTGGCTTAAGTATTCATCAAAAGATAGACAGGGAAATTATCATTGGGAAAGGATGGCTCAGCATGATAAGATAAAATGTTGAAACAGAGGTGAAATGTATTCAGAATGATCGTGGAAACAAAAATAAACCAGTTGGGGGTAGAGGATTTAAGGGGAAGATGAAAGGTGAAGCAGATGACTGTAAAGGAAGAAGAGTCTGGAAAAGCGAAATAATATTATAAGACATTAAGACGATGGTAGAAGAAGAGGTTGTACCAGTCTCTTTTGCACACAGAATTCTGGTTTCTCCAGATGCATGGCTAATGCTTCGGCAATGCAAAGAAGATGCAGTCTAATTGTCTTTGGAAGACTTCTACGTACCTTGTAAATGACTTTGAACGCAGAGTCTGTCTTGATTGAGCGACCTGCGTTCACAAAGTATTCGATTATTGAACTTCTTATTGAGCCGTTGCCTCCTCTTTTTAGCCACGCCAGACAATGTTCTTGAATTCTTTCGGATAAAGTACTCATCGAACGACCTATATACCTAGCTCCACAAGAGCAGGTAAATTGGTAAATGCACATTGAGTTGACCAGATGCGATAATTTATCCTTCAAATAAGCATCCAGTATTCCGATATTAATCTCATTATCATTTACGTACTTGCAGATAAAATAATGATCTCTGTGAGTGGAACATTAGTGAACAATGATTCGACATCTAGAGATAGCATAATTTTGTCATTTACATTCACTTCTTTTATGTGCTCGATAAATTCAAAAGTATCAGGTACGGAGTGTTTACAAATATGTTTTCTAACGGGTTCTAAGAGATTTGTCAGCCACTTTGCTATACAAATCTAACAAATATTTACTAACATCCTTTTGAATATCCATTATAAATGTTTAACTGATATGGTATACTAGCAGTTTATAAGTTCATGTTTTCATTCTACAAAAGTAATGCATGTAATAAACGAAAATATCATGTTTTATTTTCGAATAATTCCACACTTTGTCGAAATATTTATCTGCAGGTTTCAGGTTTCTGTCAGTTTTTTATTTTATTTTTTAAAATTATAGATCTTAAATAAACCATGTTAGATACTTGAATAGCGGGGTAATTGCAAAGATATACTTCGTTTTAGATTTGTGTTACCCGTTAATGAGGCATATTCCCAACATTGATAACTAATATTTTGCTTTTATAGTTTCAGTGGAGTAGAACATTTGACTAGATACATACTAAAATTTGAAATCGCTATTTATCTATATATATTCATCCCTAGATAGTATAAATGTGAATTACCAGTCAATTAGCAAATAATCAGTCGGAAGTGAGATGAGATTCACAAGGTAACGAGTAATATCTTAGCTCCAGACTTTGTATATCTTCCTTAAGAAAATAGTATAGATTATATTACGAGTAGAGGTTAAACAGTTTATCATTCTTGAAGATCAATTAATTTTCTCCCTGCCTTCCTTCATATTTCTTGTTTTCTATATTCCTGGTTTATATCCCTGTTTATCACGTAAAATATTTTGCAACATGCAATTTCTACTTACAATATGATACATGTATGGATTTGAAAATAACAACAATAGACTTATAAGCAGAGATGGATGGTGGCTAGTAGTGAAATGCAGGACGCGCGTTTCATCCCTTTTGGGACTCGCCAGATGAATGTTCCTGCATCCCCAGGGTTGATATTCACTCTTGGACAGGTACTTCCAACTGATGAGTCCCAAATAGGATTAAACATGCGTCCTAGATTCTACTGCTTGCCGCTATTAATCTCTGCCTGTAATAATAATAATTGTGATTTAAGGCGATACCGAGGCAATCCACACAGGATGTATATATGTCAATATGAGACTGATCAATTGCAGTCCTAAACATCAATGGAAGATTGAAACAACCAATACAAAAAATAAACAACAGACTCATTCTTTAGATCATCAATCACAGATTCTTTTCAGACTGGTTTTTGCACTTTGTAAGTGCTCTGGCTATTACGTTAATGATATACAAATGAAATCCCAAGTTTTAATTGATATACAATGCTTCTCAATAATAGATTATGATTTTACCAAACTACTGAGACTTTAGTTTTACCTATTGTATCAGAAAACCATTTTAAAAAATTTTTTTGTCGTAAACTTAAATATATTAGCTCAAAGCCAAATTAGATTGCAAACGAACAACCATATATGCATGTCCTGACAAGTTTTACATTACATTTATATGTGAGAGAAACTGATGAGCAAACAAAGAAATTCTAACCCAATATCATTTAACTAGTAAAGAGTTGTCTGTATAGCTTCCATACAACTACTTGATAATCTTTCATTGTACGAAAAGTGACTAATCATTTCCCAAATATTTACTTAGTCTATCATTGTGTCTATCATATTTTAATTTATCATCAAGCACTGTAGATGTTTTTTTTAGAAAAACATATAATTTGTTTACAGGTTTTATATATTATTTAGGTCAAAAAACAGAAGGTGGAGACAACTTTCCCATAGAAATATCACTTCATTTATGTACTCTGAAAGTACCATTTAAAACTACTTTTTCTTATCTCGTTAAATATTGCTCATATTGTATAGATTCTCATAATCTATAAAGAATGGATATGTTAGCCAAATGACTATTTTCAATGTTGTTCTAATAGAGAAGTTCATTTTTACAGAAAAGAGGAAAATATTATTATAAATTATCAATTGCTGGGAGTAAACTAATGAAATTAATGGTTAGTGCATTCTCCTAATTAAATTTTATTCTTAGGTGGGATCGTTCTACAAAGTGTTTCAATACTATGTTAACCCTAACTTTTACTACAATGCTACAAACTGAAGGAAATTTGGACCCAGTAAATTGAACACATTTCTTGGTGGTATATAACACTAACCCTTCTAAAAATCTTAAGATGCAATGAAATACAAATTTGTTCTATTAATTCACAAGCTTTCTAAGCAAAAACGGTTAGTGGCTAGCAGTGGAATCCGGGACGCGTGTTTCGTCCTATTTGGGACTCGTCAGCTGAATGTGCCTGCATCCCAGAGTTGATGTCCACTCCGGGATTTGAGCCCAGTACCATTCGCTTCAAACGCCATCGCATTATCCACTTAGCTACTGAGTAGTGGATAACGCGATGACGTTTGAAGGGAACGGTGCTGGGTTCGAGTCCCGAAGCGAACATCAACTCTGGGATGCAGGAACATCTGTTGACCTGTTTGGTGCTTATCTTCAAAATTAAACTACCGTGACAATTGAACCAGTGAGATGAATATTTTTCTGGCGAATTAAATCTTAGAATATCAATTAAGCTCACAGGAAACCCATTAAGTTGAAACCATATAATAGTACAGATTGAGTAGTTGTGGTAATCAAAATGGCTGTAAATCATTAAGTTTATTGTAGTAGATAAGTTTTTGTTTGTAAATATAATAAGAATAAGTAAGTACTTGTAAAGTATTTAGTTGAATGTAAGGTGTTAGTTGAGATATATGATCTAGTTAAAATGCTTCGACATAATTAATTGCGTTATGTCAGTGTTTTACAAGACTTTCCTGACGATGCTGTTAATAGCTATAGATGGCCACTCAATCTGCCCATCTCTTCCATATAAAAATCAGCCTTACTATGACTGTCGCATGTAATAAAACGTCAGACATTTTTACTTATGTATGTGGTTACGTGGTAAACAAACTCTTCTATTGAAAATTTCACAAATATTAGAAGATTAATATTTGAGCAATGAATATTCTTTTCGATAAATCCTCTTCAGGTTCTGCAATTATATACTCAACTTATCAATCCGATGATTTATCGAAAAGAATATTCATTGTTCAAATATTAGTCTCTTAATATGATGGGGATCTCACAAATATCTTACCAGCCTCACTGTTCGAAATAAGCACAAGATGACACAACTCCACGATAAGAACTGTCAAGTGGTACTCAAATAAAAAAGTTAGTGGGTTAACAGCTCAGAATAAGGCTTTTTATTGGGTGTTTGGATCTACATTTCTGATTGGTAAGATAGAGGAAGGGAATGGGACAGAGGGAAGATTAATCAGACAGTTTCACACCCTCGAAAGTTTATTCGCGTAGACTGCGTTCCAGAAATCATAACGAGGGATAATGAACAGCAAAAGCAAATGAGACTAAGCAAAATACTAGAGCAAAACTCCATATAGCCAGAACACAAATCTCTAAATGGCCATGACTAAGTCTCATAACGTTTAGGTCATTTGTAAGAACTAGGAAATAACCAATTTTAGGACAGACCAAAATACAATGTAATGTATAGAAGGCTTAAAGTAATATCAGTGACTCATGGTTAAAGAGGTGCATATTGCAAATCGGAACTAGCGTTCTTACAAATGAGGTAGAGGGTAGGGCTTGTAAAATACAGCTATATTCACATTTTTAGTATGCTAAAGAGAAGACAGATATCGTGTTCAACACAATATTTTGCTCCGATTTCTTTTTGTAACCACTTTGGTTTAGAACTGAGCATTATTAAACTTCTTCAATCACAAATTGGAAGTTGACTTGACTTACGTGTTCATCGCACTAATATCTGGAGCGTATCATCGGTAAACTTCGATCTAAGCGGTTGCAGCCTTAGCTAAAGATAACCACAAATGTATTGTAACTTAATTGATTGATTGATTGTTTAATTCCGTGTTTTTTTTCTTATAAGGCATTCTGCTTCATCAACAACATTTCGTCCAGTAAGAGATTGTAGTCCTTTAATTCTTCGTGAAGGATGCTTAACACCAATTGAATCGGAAGAGAATAGTACCAATAATAGCCTGAAATATCGGACTCCTATGAAATCAACAAATAAAAATACTACTGCTATCACCACTACAGTTTATACAGATAATTATGATAAATTACAGGAACCACTAATTAATACAATACCTGCGGTTACAAATAAACTCAGTCACTCAACAACTACCGCAGATTTACTTCATGGTCCTACACCCAGATCAAATTTCACTCATGCAAGACGATCATCATTTAAACCAACTACCTCAATGAAACAAAAATTTTTGTTTCATAATACTCCAGTTAATCTGCCATTGATCACTAATAATCAAACACCAACAACTGTAAATCACGTTAATACTTTTAATAGCATACCAACTAGTAAGCAACATATCTGTCCTCCTTCTGCACAACAACAAACATCAGTTCATGTAACTGGAACTGCAATTACATCTACAAATAATAATACTATGTTAGATGAATCTGCTAAAATATGTACCTTATGTTTACATAATTGTCATGTCGAGACTACTATTAACAGTAGTAATCATAATGGAAATAATCTGATTGTAGATAATGGTGAAGGTGGTTGCAATATAAATCTAATTGATCCAATATTAGTTTGTCAATCTGTGGTTCCAGATTACGATGATGACAGTAATGATAATGATGTCAATAACGAAAAGAGAGCTACATTTATTTGTGGAGCTATATTTCATACAAGCTGTTGTAAAATCTGTAAGTTCTTAGTGTTCATTATTGGTTTTATTGGTAAATTAACCACAAAGTTCTCACATTTTGAGATTTATTTCCTAATATATACATATTATTTCTTATTTACAATTTTTTAAGTGAAAATAGAACTAGCTATACGAGTTCTTCTTATTTCAACTATTTAACAATGTGTACTAAATGATATCAATTTAAATTCTTATGAAATCATAGAGAATAAACTCTTTAGAGAATGATGATTACAATTGATATGGTAAATAGTCATATTCGATAAGATTTTGTATTTTGCCTTTTACTTAGTAGTTCTCCAGTTGATGCAATCCCTGGCACAAACTACGTTCAACACTCTCATCCAGTTCATTATTAAAATTGCACCTTTTAATATTGCGATGAGGTATCCAGTATTCTGTCAAAAATTAATTAACTTTTTGCAGCTTTCTTCTTAATGAGTGAATATTTTGATTAAATATTAAGGAGTCTGTAGAAACGAATATAAAATGGACGATAATGGAAAACTTTCACATTTCAACATAGCCTAGATTGTATATATGCTTGTCTGGTGTTTTTCAGTATATCCTTTTCTTGTTACAAAGCCACTTGAACACTTTCATGTTGCAGTTAGTCAGCACTTATACTTCTTGAACAAGTTGTATGTAAAATTTTTCAGCGAATAGTATTTGAATTCCTTAATGCCTATTTAATTTTGCTTTCCTTGGTATGTATCGTAGCCAGTGAAGTTGATCACTTTAGTGTGTCACTTTGTATCGAATATTACGGGTTTATATGTAGTATTTTATAACTGTTCATCATTCTTTATCATAGCGTCATCAGTGACTCACAACCGAAAATAACTGCTGATTACTCTATGCTGTCACACTACACGTCTAAATGCCGTAAAGTAATTCAACAAGGTGAAAACCAGGAAAGTTGAAATGATATCTATCAATAATAGTGGAAGCCGAATATTGTAAATATATTTCAAAATAAAACAAAGATTGAAATAATGTAATCAAAAAAATTTGAAATAATAATAAATCTCAGAATTTACCAATGCATGTACCTGCAGCAGTATGACAGTACCACTTAGGGTTTCTAATCATAAACTGCTTCCAATCTAAGAAGTTCGCACTTCATGATACGACCCAGCTCAACCGTCAATAACTTTATCTAATTTTGCAAATATTGCTTATAATCATAATTGTTGGTTACATTTTGAATGCTATTGTTGTAACGTGTGTGACTGCAGGGTTTGATACGCAGCGTTACTTATCGATCGATTCGGTGATAGTGGACACGTAAACATGTAAGGACGACCTAGTGCCCTGATTGGCCCTGCTTCGCTGTCTGTCCTAGCCAGTTGAGTCAAGAACACAAGTCACAGCCTCGGAGTTATGAATCATTGTATTTCAAACATACTCTATTTATATACCAAGCAAACAAACCACATCGTACCATAAAATAGGAAACAACATTTGTACAATATTTAACAAGTGAAGTAAACATCGACCAATAAGAAATGTACATTTAAGGTCCAAGACCATCGTAGACTTAACACAATAATTATTGGTATATTTTCCCGACTATCCTAACAGCTATTTTAAACCGATCACAACTATCAAACGTGGGATAATATTTAAACATTTAAGTAAATACATTGAATACCTACTAAAGTTATCGAAGCCCTAGAGCTGTAGAAATGTAATTTAATCCTTTATGGTTTGTTCATCGTTCTTGAACCGGTGCATTAGATATTGGTGAAAACCACAAAATAATAGCTTATTCACACATTGAATTATATCATAATTCAAAACTAAATATTTCCGCTTCCTAGTATGAGTTACCATATAAACAATTCAACCGTAACGTTTTATGATATTGAGCAATACATAAGTTAGGTCTCGGGGCACCTCCTTAGGAGCTAACGGATACCTGTTATTTCAGTGAATATAGCATTGCTCATAAAACGGGGTAAAAGCATAATCAAGAATGTCATTACTTACTTACTCCTGTTACCCCTAGTGGAGGAGCATGGCCTCCCACTAACACTCTTAATCCAACTCTGTCCTGGGCAATTTTTTCCAGTTGCTATTCATCCTTTTGATGTCTGCTCCCAATTCCCGATGTTGTGTGTTCTTCGTCCTTCCGCTTTTCGATTTCCCTTCAAGATTCCAAGTTACAGCTTGCTTCGTGATGCAGTTAAATGATTTCCACTTCCAATTTCCTTTCCTGATTTCCTCTTCATTTGGAAGGTGGTTTGTCCTCTCCCATAGTAGGCTGTTGCTGATGGTATCCGGCCAACAGGTATTGCGTATCTTGCGTAGACAATTGTTTAGAGATACTTGTACTTTTTGATGATGGTTGTTGTAGTTCTCCAAGTTTCAACTCCGTACAGTAGAACTGTCTTGACGTTCGCATTGAATATTCTGACTTCGAAATTGGTTGACAGTTGTTTTGAGTTCTATATGTTTTTCAATTGTAGAGATGCTGTCCTTGCGTTGCTAATCCTCACCTTTACGTCTGCATCAGATCCTCCTTGTTAATCTATGATGCTGTCTAGGTACATGAGAGTTTCCTTTCTTCCAGAGTTTCTCTATCAAGTGTGATTGAGTTGGTGTTCTCCGTGTTGTATTTGAGGATTTTGTTTTTTTTCCCTTGTGCATGTTGAGGCCAACTGCTATAGAGGCTGCTCCTAAACTAGTTGTCTTGACCTGCATTTTTTTGATTTATTATTTATTTTATTTGGACACATGAATATTGGTACAAGAGAGCGCCAATATATATGCGCCACACAAAACAATGAAAATTCGAGAGGAATACAAAGAAAGAAAAAAAAAGCTAAGGAGCGCAACAAAAAAAAAGAGAGAACAATAACGAAGAGATTTTGATGTATATGGCATGATGTGTATGGCATAGAAGGGCTAGGTCATCTGCGAAGTCCAAATCGTCTAGTTGCATCCAACCCGGCTCATTTTATTCCGTGCTTCCCGTCAGATGTCTAGATCTTCATAATCCAGTCAACTACCATGGGAAAGAGTAGACAGCCTTGTCTAACTCCATTCCCCATTTGGAATGCATCTGTCAGATGTCCGCCATGCACCACTTTTCTCTGTAGGCCGTCGTATGAATTACGAATGATGTTGACGATTCTCTCAGCTACTCACACCATAGTGTCGAGGAAGTTTCCATAATGTTTGCCCATCCACATTGTTAAACGCTTTCTCATAGTCAATGAAGTTGATGTATAGTGGCGTATCCTAGCATTTATTTCTGTCTGACTACGGCGCCTTAGATGGTATATTGTCAGGTTCTGCTGCTTTCCCACTCTTAATTTGTCTGATTGCCATCCTGTCTTCGTCGATCGTTGGTGAAGTGACATCTATGGGAAGATCAGTGTGTGTGGTTGATTCAATGGAACTGATTTCAGTGGGACATGTCTATTCAAGAGTCCTCCAAACTGTTGTGCCTATCTGTTCTTCTGTTCTTGAATATCAGTGATTAGCTTGCCTCCTTTGTCCTTAGCCGGTCTTTGTGGTCTACTATATTTCTCTGCCAGTTTCTTCGTTGTGTCATATAGTTGTTTCATATTTCCTTCTCTTGAAGCTTTTCCGCTGTCACTGCTAGCTCTTCCACGTGTTTCTGCTTGTCGGCTCTCATGCTCTTCTCCACTTCCTTGTCTGCTTCAGTGTATTCAGCTTGTGCCTTGATTTTCTCTGCTCTTATTCGACTATTGTTAATTGCGGTCTTCTTGTTCTTCCTTTCTTGAATCTAGTCCAGGGTTTCGATAGAGATCTGTTTATTATGGTGGTGCTTTTTGCGGCCCAGAACCTCCTAGCACGTCGGAGTTGGTGTTTCTTTGACCCCTTCTGGTTGTCCTTCATAGTAGTTTCTTCTTCTGTAAGTTGATCCTGTAAGACATGGAACCTGTTGTTGAGAGCTATCTGGAATCCATTGAGTTTGTCAGTGTCTTGAAGAAGGGTTGTATCAAACATTTGTAACACTGTCTCGTCAGTTTTCTAGTGCTTCTTTAGCTACAGTTTTATCCTGACGGAAATCGTGTGCTGATCTGAAGCTGTGTCAGCTTCTCTCTTGGTTTTCACTTCTTTCATTGACCCTCTGAATTTTTTAGTGATGTAAGTATGATCAGTCTGATTCTGATCTCTTCCGTATCCAATCTTTGCTGTCCAGCTTGTGTTCAATGGGTTTCGCTGATTGCAAGTAGAGCCAAGTTGTATCTCCTCATTTCTGTAGCTGTTTGACTGGTCCTCCCAGTCTCCTACATTGTCCGAACATTCCATGTACCTATACCGAATGTTTTTCTGGTTGTTCGAAGTGGCATCGTCCTTGTGACATCCGAAGAATCTCGGCTTTCATCATGAAGCGTAATAATAGTTTAAATGGTTTAGTTTATTTAACCTGGTTAGCGTTTTTTAACAAGATTGTTTTCTCCGTGATGGGGTTACTGTCAGTAGTTCCAGAAGAGCTACAGGCAGATTTAATCTCACATTTCATTGATGAGTGCAGTAATACGATAAAAAAATGTAAATAAATATTGTTCACTCACCTGCTAATAAAAAATTTATTTACGTCTTAATTTCTTAAACAAATACCCAAAAATACTTTCATCTAAACACAAAAAATTTTTCATAGTTTGTGACACCCCGGTACATTATGGATGTAATCGTTTCGGATACATATTAGATACCAAGTATATATATAATGTTGGGCGAAAATTAAGCAACAATAAATTCGCGTTTTATTTAAATCCGAAAAAAACCATTAGTCATCTGTCCGTTATGACATGAATAATTATTTTTATACATCGTATTGATATAGTGATCCAGTAACGTGTACTTCCATAGGCTGCGTCCATGTGATAAGCTGGTTCCATTTTTTAAATCCAAAGTATTTCTGGAGAAATAGATTAATAGTGAAAATCAAGTAAATTGAAGGTGAATCGACTGAAAATAAACCTTGGAAGCGATTGACCACTGTAACATAAGTCTCTC